TGGGTCTTTTCACGTGTGTTATGAATAAATCTTCTTTTTTTCGGTACCAGTACTAGTTTTATTTTGTTGTATTTATCCGCGACACCTTAAAGGCCGGTCCATGAAAATATTGTCGGGCATAAACCGGTCCGTGGAGCAAAAAAGGTTGGAGACCGCTGTCTTAGAGGATAAAGAGCTAGTCCAGTGTTCCGCGACCAAGACGAAAACCGCATTGTCCCTCCTCTATCCGAGGTTCCACTAATGGACCAACTGCACTCTGCCATTTACCTTCTGAGGAGTACAATCCCCCCTCCGTGTGATGTTGCAGAAAGACTTTCCACTTAAAATGCAGTATTTCAAAAACAATCTAAGAAAAATGTCAATGCTTGATCAATAGTGAAAGTGTCACTCAGTTTTGTTTTTAAATTAATGAAAATTTTTTTTTTAAAAAAAGCAGGTCTTTTAACATAAAAATGCAGCATAAACATGCACTTCCTTATTTTAACCCCTTAGCAGTCCAATTAGTCCCCTAAACCATCCAATGTCCCGTGGGCGGTACGTCCGACTGCTAAGGGGTTAAACAATCCTTGTCTATTTATTTTATTTTCTGTTCTTCTGTAAGAAGTAGTGTAGTGACAGTGCCCCCTACTGTAGAGAAAACTTGGTACAGATCGCAGCAGCCAGCTGATGCAAAAGGAGCTGATCTGTAGGCAAACATGTAATTCAGGACTTGTTGGGACAATACAATAGGACGTTGCCATGTCATATCTTAGTAAATAACTGCACTGAAGATGTTTCATGTGTCTTAAAGGAAAATATACCATTTGTCGATATTATCTATGTATGTATATGTATCTATGTAAAAGAGAAAGGTTTTTCTGTTTGTGGAGCTTTTCAGGTATCTGTAGTCAAATGGGATCCAAACATCTCTAACAAGCACACAATAGTAATTTTACATAACTTGGCACATGAAACCAACATATTCGTTTCTGTATCTCTACATGTTGTGTATTTTATGAAATAATATCTATATTTACTGTCTTGCTCAGATGCACCATCCAATCCAGATGAAGCCCGCTGATAGTGAGAAAAACAATGGTAAGGATTTTGTAGCATAAGTACCTGCTAGTAAACATACTTTTATGCATGTTGAATGTTGCAGGGCACCATAATTCTTGATATAATGCACAGAAGTTTAATGTTGTGTTATGTTTAATACAGCAGTGGAGGACAGAAAACTGTTTATTGGAATGATCTCCAAGAAGTGTAACGAGAATGATATCCGACTGATGTTTTCGCCATATGGACAGATAGAGGAGTGCCGGATACTCAGAGGCCCTGATGGACTTAGCCGTGGTAAGACTTATTTGTGATAAGGTTTAGCTTTCTAGCGTTTGCTATTCTTTTGCCAGGCTTATACACAATTACAGGTTGAAGTGTGATATTGTGTCTTGTCTGTCTGCAGCTTTGTTATATGGCTGAAAATGACTAAGTCCAGTAGTCATCTTTTGTAATAGTTTATGGTAAGTAGGGCTGCCACAAACGATTATTTTGATAGTCGACTAGCCACCGATTATTTTTGCGATTAGTCGACTAATCAGATCATCATCCATTGGACGTAAAACGTACAGCATATTGCACCAGCAGCATCTGCTCTTATATAACTATCATTAGCTTACAGCTTTAAGTGTGTAAGGTATGTGCTAACTAAAAATAAAGGCAAGATGACAGTTTATTAAAGTTTAATGAAATGTGCAGATTGTTTCGGTGAAGTTTAATAAACTCCTTGCTATCTAAACTATAACAGGACACCGGAGTAAATTCTCGAGCATCTCACACTTCTGATGATCAGCTGTCTGCTTGACGTTTATTCAGCTGTGTAAAAACTATAACTTTAATCTCAGCCAAACCGATTTACTCAGGAACAAATAAAATACTGAAAAAAGCCAAACAATAACATTTTTAAGTTATCTAAGTGACTTATATATCATGTTTAACCTGAGTAGTGAAAGACGGCGGTGGGTTTGAAAACGATCTGCCGGGAGTCCGGTGTTCTCACGGCGCTAGTGAGCTTGCCCCCGGCTAGCTATCGAGCTAGTGGGTAACAGACGTCTCCGAAAACGTCGGAGCGCTTTTGAAAATATGCGGTGTCTTGATAAACTGAGCAGATATTTGAGGTTTACACAGCTACATTC